GGCAGCTGCACCCGATGCAACCATCACAAAACAAGAGACCCGAGAACTAGAAAGGCGAGGCTTCACCACCCATTTATCCCTCCGCCTTTCAACCAGACCCACATGTGATTATCGGCCAGGCTGGCACAATTAACTAACTCAGCATCTTAGGGCTGTTTTCACAAAATACCATAAGTGGATGGTTTTAAGGAACAGAAATTAATTTTTGCACAATTCAGGAGGCCAGAAATTTAAATTTGGAGGTTGCTGGCTGTAGGGGGAGGCGTGTGTGTGTGTGTGTGTGTGTGTGTGTGTGTGTGTACGTTTTCTGTGGCTTCTCCTGACATCTGTTCTTTGTCCATTCTGGTCTTCCTATAACTCAGAAGACTTAGAGCCCACCTGCTTGGATATGACCTATTTAATATGACAAAAAACCCAGCTTCAAATCAGACACATTTACAGGTGTGTGGGCCAGGATTTCAGTTCATATTTTGGGTAGGGAGGACACAATTCAATCTATCACTCTAGGCCTCTGTTCTAAGACTTGGCCATCTGCTGGACTGTGCTTTTGGGCCTCTTGAAAGGTTCTGGTCTTTGCCCTTGAGAAATCCAAGGGACAACTAGTAGAGGAGGCCCACACATGGGAGCAGCATGCCTGGCCATGGTGAAGAATGTCCACAATAGTCTGTTACCCAGCCATGCTGTCTGGATGAGCACACCGGCAGGCTGAGGAAGACACACAGGGCAAAAGTTGATCGAACTGCACTCCCTGTCCAGGAGGAAGAGTGTACCCAGGTGTGGGCAGAGTCCTTGACTTCCTCCCCAGGTGCTGCAGTTGCCAGCTGGGTGACCGAGCTACCCCATCTCCAAAGTGAGAGACGGCACTGTTGGAAATAGCGTATTATAGTTACAAATGGAACCCTGCACCCCACCAAAGCAGACACGTTGGGGAAGCCAGAACCCTGTGGGCTTGTACTTAGATTCTTAGAATCTAACGCTTTCTTTTTGAATTGTATCTAGAGACACCACCTGCTGGGTGCTCAGCCCTTGTTAAAGTGAAAAACAGAAAGGTCCAGAGACCATTCATGCAAACGTTCGGAGTGCTCTGGACCCCCCACCCCATCTTTTCTCCTGAAAGAAACCAAACTTGGATGTTTCGGTTGTTCTTTCCTCTTGTCTCTAGAGCAGTGGCTCTCAGTGGAAGTTGCCCCTCCCCTCCCCAGGGATATTTGGCAATATCTGGAGCTGTTTGGGTTATATAACACAGACATTGCTGTTGCTCACTATCCTACAATGCACCGGATACCAAAGGTGCTAACCATGCTGAGTGAGCAGCCCTGCTCTAGAGGCAGCTAAACTGCCTGCTAGTGAGTCAATCCCAGGGGCTATTGAGTAGCTCCTGCAGGACAGAATAGAACTTCCCCTGTGGGTCTCTGAGACGATATCTTTACGGGGGCAGAAAGCCTCATCTTACTCCTACGACTGGTGGTTTTGAACTGCACACCTTTCAGTTAGTATCCCAGTACATAGCCCGCTGCACCACTAGGACCCTTCTCGAGGCAGCAGGTGTCATGCCCTTGGTAGATCTCAATGCTGGCCGGTCACACGTAGAAGGAAGATTCAGTCTTGTAGTATGCATTACTGGGCCTTGGTGACACCGTGGGTTAGGCAGTAGGCTGCTCACTGCAAAGTTGGTGGGTCCGCCCATCAGCCAAGGGAGGAAGATGAGACTTGCTGCTCCTTACAGATCGAGTCTTGCCCCCCAGGAACAATAATGGGAGTAGCGGTACCATGAGTGTAGGGGGAAGAAAGGGGGAACCAATTGCCATGATTGACAGATAACCCCCCCACACACACACATACACACACCCAGGGTGACAACAGAAATGGGTGAATGGAGACAGCGGATGGTGTAAGATATGAAAATAATAATAATTTATAATTTATCAAGGGTTCATGAGAAGGGGTAAGAGAGTTGGGAAAGGAGGGAAAAATGAGGAGCTGATACAAAGGGCTCAAATAGAAAGAAAATGTTTTGAAAAGGATGATGGCAACATACGTACAAATGTTCTTGACACAATGGATGCATGGATTGTTATAAGAGCCCCCAGTAAAATGATTTTTAAAAATAAAAAAGATTTAGTCTTGGCAATCCTACCCAGGGCTGCTATGAGTTGAAACTGACCCCATTGCAGTGGTTTGAATTAGGAGTTGTGTGTTGTTCTCTAAACTTCCAGGCACTCGGCAGCCTGCTTTCTTCACTCGACAATGGTGTGTTTGAGAACATTATAATGATGCTTGTAGATCTAGTTCATTTATTTTAATTGGGAATAGGCCACGTTTGATAATCCATTCTGTGACTGATGGTCACCACAGTCATTTCTGACTATTTCTAACCTTTTCTGTTGCAAGCAGTGTTGTGGATATGTTTGCAAGCACTCCTGACACGTGGGCAGACACTGGGAGTGGCTTTGCTGGGTGTGGGGAGCTCCTGTTCACAGTTCCTCTGGCCACTGCCCAGCCCTCGACAGCACCACGTGTTGCCCGCTGGACGTTTGGGAGAGAGGGAATGGTGATAGAACGTACCTTGCTATCGCTTTGTTTTTATCTGCTTGCTATCAAGACCGAACCTTTCTCCGGACACTTGAGTTTCCTCAGGGACCTGTCACCCTCAGCCCTGGTGTGTGTGACCCCTGCATACTGTGCCCACGTGTTGGCCCCCACGTCTGGTGACACTGCTCTCAGCCTGCTGGATCCGGTCTCCTTGTCTAGCATGCATGCCCACTGTCCCTCTGTGTCCTTCGACAGGTCGACACAGATGATTAAATTTCAGCTTCTTATCTTCAGTTTTATGAGATTACACTGTGGTAGCCTTTACTGGACTTGAGTGTTCCCAAGCCTCCACATGTTCCCAGAGGGCAACTTTGTTTCTGAGTTGTGGGGACCTGCCCCTCTCGGGTGGGCAGCGCGCTGGGCGGGCTTCCCACTGATGCTGGCTCTGTCCCTGCAGGCAGACTTCTACGTTATGGCCTGGCTGCTGGGCTACGTGAACCCCTTGGATCCCAGCTTTGTGGCTGCAGTCCTAGCCATCGCCTTCAACCCGCTCTTCTGGAATGTGGTAAGTGTCAGTTCCCGGTACTCACTGTGCCAGCCTGGCGCTCTGTGCCCGGAAGTTTGCCCCTCGCGTGGTCAGACGGCTGCTCCTGCTCTTCTCCTTGTCTGTCTCTGCCGAGTGTGGCGGCCTCCTGCGCGCCCAGGGTTGAGCAGTGGCGGGGCCTGGCCCCCTCGAAGTCCTCTGATTGGGAGCCCCGTTACGTCGCCTCAGATATACCTGCACACCCTCGGCATTGAGTGGTTGACATAGTCCAGGTGCTCAGTGGTCTCACATTGCACGGGGGCCTGCAGGAGGCCTACCCCGAACCTGTCCATAGTGACTTTAACTATATTCTTATCTAAGGGACGAGATCTCCTCCCCTCTCGGCTGATACTCGCAGGAGAGAACCGTGTTCTTGTGAATCCCTCCCCTGCCCATGGATCCATCAGCATTTTTGTTTCCCTCAAATACAGTTTCTTGCAAGAAGAGTCTTTGCCCCCCCCCACCCACCCCCACCTACTGAGGTGAGTTATAGCAGAATAAGCCGGCTCTGGTGGCCATTTGTAAAGAAGAGGGTACACAGATGGCTTCCAGCTAGACCCTGGGGTGAACACTCCCCGCCACCCCCCACAGGACCCAAGCTTGGTGGGTCTAGGGAAGCTGTGTGGAAACAACTAAGCAGAACTCCATTCCATCCAGTTACCACCCTGGATGGTGGGTCACAGCATCAAATGTGACTTGGGCTCGGCCCTGGGGTGCAGGGACCAAGCTGCACTCTCGCCCTCCGGTCGTCTGGAGGGGACTTGGAAGAGAAGGCTCTCAGAGGGCAGTGCTGTTCTGTTTCCATGTAGAGTCCTTAGCTTGGGAGACAGGACAGGCCCCCGTCTTTTTCTCTTCTTCTCTAAGACCGGGTTTGTAAGGGAGGGGTTATGATGGTGGGTGGGGGCCAGGGGCGTCAGCTGCTTCCCTCACAGGCTCGTGTTCCATGAGTGGTCCCACCTGAGCTGAACACGATGAACCTGCCGCATGACTGCTTGCCAGCCAAGGAGGCCAAAGAACAGGCTACCGCCGACCTGCCAGGGAGTGAGTGGGTGGGAGGAGACCGGCCGAGTGGAGCCTGAGGTTGAGATGCTGGCGGACTCCTTGTCCGCCTGGACGTGGAACTGAGGCTGCTGGGTTAGGCTGGAGAAGTTTGAGAGGGAGCTCCTTGCAGGCTGCTCTTCAGCGTCTCTGCTCCGCAGAAGCCCAGGCTCCCTCTGGGCTGTGGGAACCTCCTCCCTCAGCCACATGCTCTGCGTGCTGACTGGCCCCCCTTGCTTCTCAAAAAAAAGAAGTAAAAGAAACCACACTCATTGCCTTGGAGTCGACCCTGACTCGGGGACCCTGCAGGACACAGTGGGACTGCCCCTGTGGGGTTCTGAGAACTCACCTTTCTCCCTGGAGCGGCTGGTGGTTTTGAACTGCTGACCTCGAGATTAGCAGCCCAGCTCATAACCACTCTTACCACCTCTCAGACCCTCCCCCCCATGCCCCTCTAAAAAACAACCAGACAAACCTAGTACCTGATTCTGACTCTGATTCCTAGTGTGCGGAGTAGAAATGCCTGCAGGGTTTCTGAGGCTGTAATCTAAAGGAAGCAAGTGGCCACAGCTCTCTCTGGGGGAGGGGCTGGTTAACTGCTGAGTGCTTAATTGCTGCATCACCAGCCTCCTTTCTCCTCACACGTGGGCCTCCCTAGTTGAGCTTCCGTGCCCCCAGGGAGAGCCAGGCCGGTCAGCTGCCCTCCCACCCACAGACCTGCTCTCCTGTCCTTCTTACCCCCAGGTCCCCGTGTGCTTTCCTCCTGTTCCACCCCTCCCACGCCTCTGGCTGGTAGGGTCCTCAACCCCTCTGGTAAAGCAGGTGTTTGGTCAGATGCCCCCAAAGATGCCCACACCCTAATTGCTGGGACATGTGATGGCAACCTCATGTGGCAAGAAGGGATCTTTGCAGGTGTGATTTAGTGTGGTATGTGTCTGGGTGTAGAGTGTGTATGGTGCCCTGCCCCCAGAGGTCTCAGTGTCCCCCCCACACCACCCAGTGATTATGCACAACACAAGATAATGATGTCTTTTTGCAAAATTACTGTAAAATCACGCTTTGGTCCACAGACTCCTGGACAGTGTGTGGTTGGGAGACGGGCTGTGCTGCTTCTAAGTTGCTTTTAGTCATAAGCTTTTGAGTTGCCTCATTTTCGGAAACAACAAAACCAAACCAGTTCACTGGCACAGTGTGGGCATTGGGGGAGAGTGCGAGCTCCCCAGAGCTGTGTCAGCCTGAGCAAAGGTCCAGCCACCATGGTGGTTTCGTGGCCTCTGCTGCTGGGGAAGATGTATGTGTGTGGTGGCCAAGGGGTGGCGGGAGAAACTGGTTTAAAATGCACGTGCGCATGCACACCCACACACTCACGCACCCCACTCCATCCCTAACTGGCTCTGGGGTATTAATGTCCACTGTTCCTCTGAAGTGGGCCCCCATGGGGCTGAGAGAGGCTCCCTGGCTGAGACTTAAGATAGCCCTCCTTGGAGGGGAGGGTCTGATTCTGGTGTGTTCTGAGGTCAGGCAGGGTCAACAGGAATTGGAAGGAAGGTGAGGATAAGGGAAGGGCTCCTCAGTGGCCTAGGAGCTGAGTGACCACGGGAGCTGGGGGACGTCTGAAGGAGGAAGAGCGCAGTCTGTCCAGGTGAGTGTTGACAGGTCTGAGACATGTGGGGTGAAGCCAGGCCAACAACCAGGCCCAGAACTGAGCCTGCCTTCCTGTCGATACAGCCCGTAGAACCGTGTCTCACAGCACTGGGCTCGCCACCCTGCCCCCTTCCTCCAGACCCCTCAGCTCCCAGAGAGAGGCTCCCCACCACCCAGTTCCAGCTGGGGACATTCACTAGCCCTTGTCTGTGGGACGGTCCTTGGGTCAGCATGTACGGTACTGGCCCCTGCCCAAGACGACATGGTGGCTCACTGGTTCTGTGCTTGGCTGTGAGACTGTAAGGTCCCTGGTTCTGACCCATGCTTCCGTAAGACTGACAGCCGTGGAAACCCGTGGGACAGCTCCACTCTCTTCTCCAGGGCCGCACAGTCAGAAGTGACTTGGTAGCAGTGGGTTGGGTTTGGGGTTTGAAACTGCACCAAGTCTGTTTTCTTTCTGCTAGCCCTTATGGCTCCTTTTCCTCCCAGGCGCCAGGAGCCCCATGTGCCAGGTGTGGGGTGAATATGTGCCTGGTGCTCCTCTGCGCCATGGTTAGTGTCCTGTTCATTTGTGGCCAGGACTCTGGAGGGAGGTGCCAAGGTGCTGCCGACACAATAAGTCGCTGGCCTGGCAGCACCTGCAGTGCCCCGACTGTTGGCTTTACTGGGGTATCTCCAGGGGCCTTGGCGGCATAGTGGGTACGCATCAGGCTGCTACGTAGCAGTTCAAAATGACCAGCTGCTGTGACGGAGAAAGACGAGGCTTTCTGCTCCTGTGGAGTTCCAGTCTCAGAATCCCACAGGGGCAGTTCTACCCTGTCCTATAGGGTCACTATGAGTTAGAGTTGGCTCGTGGGCAGTGGTTTTCTGAGGGGCCTTTCAGGCCCTGTATATACTCTTTATCCAGAAGGAAACTCTCTTATGTCCCCCTTCCCTGTCACCTCCCTCAGATGACCATTGCCTGAGTCCAGGGCCAACTTGCTGCCTGCCTGCCTGCCTCCCTCTCCCCTGAGGCACTGGCCCACTTCTGCCACCTCCTGCACCCCCCACTTTCCAGTTCAGGCTGCCCAGGGAGCTGCCACAGGCCCCACACTCTGTTCTCTTAGTGGTTTTCTGTCTTCTGGGACAGACTGCTGGTTCATATGGTCTGCTAGTACCCTCCCTCTCCCACTTGTACCCATCCCACTCTGGGCCTCAGTCACCCGGAGAGCTTATCTGTGCCCTCATACAGGGCACCCCAGACCTGGTCAGGTCAGCCCTGCAGGTCATTGTCCTTGCTTCCCACAACCTCCTGTGCCCTGCTGTGCCCACGAGGTTGACATTTGGTTGGCACCCTCCTGCTGAGGGGATCTGTGCACAGCAGCTCCTCTGGCTGCAGTGTGGCTTCTGCCCACCAGGGGTCAGTAGCATCCTCACAGTTGAGGCCGTCTAGCTGGTACGTAGCCACAGCGAGGACTGAGAACTGCCGGTCTGAGTGCAGCAGCCTGCTTCAGGCCTCCTCTGAGCTCTGGGCCCTGCCTACACACGCCTCAGTACCAGCTCCTCTGTCTAGTCAAATGGGCCAGGCCCGCTCACCCTGTGTCCTGTGCACCAAGGCAGGAGCGAGAGGACAGAGGACAGAGAGCCCTCACTCTGAGTCCTCACTGCTGGCAGCTTCTTGCCCGGCGGCCTGGGTTACTGTACTCATTGGCTTTGCGCTGCCTCATGGGTTACAAAAGTAGATGCTTCCCATACTTGGGTTCCTAACTCTTGAAGACCATTTCTCAGAAGCAGATGGAGACCTGCCAGCTTGTTTGAACATCATGACAGACTTGGTTGGCTTGGAGAGAGGGACTGACCATCTTGTATTGCTCACCCTGGGACACTTCTGATCGTTCTGCGGGGACACAGGTGTGAAGGGGGCCAGGACCCCGTCTGAGCTCCACCCTCAGTGAAGTCACACCTTCTCTCTCACAGCGTGCTGCAACCCTGGCTTCTATCAGCTCTGGCTTCTGTGCCCTGGCTTGAGCGGTTTCTTCTGCTTGATCTTGCCCCTTCGTCCCAGGGTGCCAGCCCCTTCTCTCCCAGGTCCTCCCTGCAGCATCCCCTCTCCTCTGCTGCCCACAGCTCAGGCGGGGGCCTCTCTGTGGGAGCAGTTACCGTGGTGCCTGGGCAGCTTTGTCATGGGGGGAGACTTGGAGTAAGTGTGTTTGCAGAAGCAGTTGCTGACAGATACCCCACCCCTGTCAGTCACATGGCCAAGGCCTTCCAGTCAGGGGCCTTCCTGCATCCAGGGCAGTTCTGGGGGAGGAGGCCCTCTT